CTGTAAGCTATGATGCCATAGTACTCTACCCAGGGTGACAGAGTGAGACTCTGTCTCAAAAAAAAAAAAAAAAATATATATATATATATATATGTAATACATCTATATAAATCTGGACAGTATAATATGATTTTTACTGCATCAAAACTTATCAATACATTTACATATAACTGAAATTTTCAACTATAAGCCCAACTCATTTTTGCATTTACATGTGGCCACAAGTTAACCATTGCTTCACAAGGTATTTCCATTGTAGATAATCCTTACAGTTCCACTTATGTGAGATACTTCACAAAACACTCTTTTTAGTATTTAATCTAAACTTAGATATCCAATGACTCTTCATTTCTTGAATTACTGAATTTCCAAAAGATCATACCTTATGTTTAATAGTAAAAACAAAGACAAATAGGACTTGAAAAGTCAATTATAAATGCCAGTTGCTTCTGGATATTCTTAATCAAATTTTTATATTTAGTTAAAGTGGAAAATAAAGAGAGCAGAAGATGGTGGTAAAATCTTACCTGTAATTTGTGCGCTTTTCAAAAAAACAAAATTTCATTTTCATGTTAGGTACCTTTTAATTAACATCGTCAAATTAATAAGGCCCCAGAAGTCAAAGCAATTCAGAAAGATGTTTGTTCTGAGAAAAATCTGTTAATTTAAATACAGCATTAATATTTAGCCTAGCAAAACTTAACTTTGTTCAATAAAGAAACATTTAAACATAATTTATTTCCATAATTGGAATAGCTGTGTATAGAAAGAATGGAAGTAGAGGAGAGAAAATATAAACAAAAAAAGTGGCACATTTCACAGAGAAGCAGAGGAACAGAAAGTGAAAGCTGGAGAAATGAGTAAAATACTCTTGTTATACCATGTCAGCCACTGGGGTGTCAGACTCAGAATATGACACAAGTTCCCAAGCCTTTTGAAGTACTAATTACATGTTTAAGTACACTACTCTTAACCTTGACCTTGGAAGTTTCATGAGCTTTCATGCGTTATTTGCTCATGGAGCTCAGACGGTTACACTCCAGTGTACAGAGATGACGGCCTTCAAGGGATATACGGTCAATTAGAGCAGCAGCCCCCAAACTTTTTGGCACCCAGGAGAGGTTTCGTGAAAGACAATTTTTCTGAGGACTGGGGGTGTGGTTTTGATATGAGTTTGCAAGTAATTGATCTATTATGGTCTTCGTACAGTCAAACCTTTCTGCTAATTCCTAGTGCTAGTATCACCACCTCAGCTCCCCCTCAGATCATCAGGCATTAGACTCTCATAGGGAATAAGTAACCTGGATCCGTCACATGCACTGTTTGCAGTAGGGTTCATGCTCCTATGAGAATCTAATACTGCTGCAGATGTGATAGGAGCAGAGCTCAGGCATTGATGCAAGGGATGGGGAGTGTCTGTAAATATTGAAGAAGTTTCCTTCACTGGCCTGCCGCTTGCCTCTGCTGTGTGGCTCAGTTCCTAACAGGCCATGGACTGGTAATACTCCACGGTCTGGGGGTTGAGTACTACAGAATTAGAGGACACAAACAAGTAATTGGGGGATGCTGATGTTAATATACATAGTAATACTTGAAATGCTATTTTCTGGTGCCAAAATATGCTAGGAAAAGGGTCTGAAAACTTTTTCTCAGAATTTTACATGTTAGATGTTAAAATGGCTTTTCAGAGCCATTTTTTTTAAAAACTGGGTGTTAGTCGCACTTATAACAAAATGTGCATCCTATAGCAATAATACTTAATAGTATTTTTATCTTTCCTTATGTAATAAAATAAGTACAACTTAGTCCTATTTTATTTCAAGTCAAGGTACAACTTCTTCCTTCCTCCAGAGTTAATGAGGGATCAGCGTGTTTCATAGTTGACATCTCACAGCAAATGCAAAAGAAGAGTAGAAAGCAATGAAGTTGTCGCTGGATGTTTGGAATTAGACTATACTTAAGTAGCAACTTTTTAAAGTTGTCATAACTTTTTCTAGATCTGGGGTGCAGTGCACATGTAGGTATGTGTCACTTAAAATCACTGGGATGTGTTCTGACTAGTGCGTCTTTAGGCAATTTTATGTGAATGAACGTCATAGAGTAGCCTTGCACAGACCTAGATGGTAACGCTTACTACACACCTAGATTATGTGGCATGGCCTACTGCTCTGAGCACCGTCACACATGCTGTCTATCTTTGCCGCAAACTTGGTTATGCAGTACATGACTGTATTTGGTTATTGTTACCGAATGCAGGTTTGGCTGCCCACCACCAAACTCAGAAAGTGAATGTTGGTGAAGCAATGTGGTTTAGTTAAATGCCAGCAGCCTTGGGGAAATGGTCAGAAGTGATAATGGCAGACTATTTTCTCAAAGACCATCTCATCTTTCTCTGCTTCCTGAACAACTTATAAAAGGAAAGAGGAAGGGGGCGAGTAGCAGAAAGCAAGCTTTGTGCAAGTCTTCACGGTTTGCGTGAGCGTTCCCAGTAAACAACAGGTCATTCTGACGGATCTTGCAGTCAGCTGTTTGCAGTTGGCCTCTTCTAGACTCTCAATCTGTCTTTTCCTCAAAGTCATTTTCTAATCTTGTGTCCAGCAGCTGTGTGGACAAACAGCAGGTTAATTTTAAACTTTTAAGACAGAACAAGCCAAAAGCATACTGGAAGCCAAGTGATTTCCCTTTAGCAGGCCCAGCAATACAGTCTGAATGGCCCTTGGGACATGCTTACAGATGGAGCAGTATTGTCGGACAGGACCAATGCAGCACTAAACACCACTTTGGCACCTTTGTTTTTGTGGGTGATCATGTGATGGGTTTTCATCTAAAAGTTCTGAATGCTTCAAAAGTACCATTCCAGTATCTACATTTCTGTTGAGCAAGGATTCTAATGCAAAGGCTACTCTAAGTGGTTTCATGTGAAGCTTACAATTTAGTAGGCTACAGTTAATGAATACCAAGAGAGACAGGAGCAAAATCATAAAGGATCTTTTATGTCATAACAAGGAGCTTAGACTTTACTGTGAATATAAATTACTACCTGTTCTAATGATATTTCACAATCTAATAGAGATTTAGACAGGTCCTGCTGCCTGGTGTATTTAATGAAATATGTGTCACAATTAACCACTCTAAAACAAAAATCACAGTTTGAGTAAACATCCTCTCCTTGTTTGGAAGAAGGCCACGTCTGCCCATGGTGAGCTGAGAGGTGGTTCTGTCGGAACTCTGAGGAAAGTCTGGTGTAAAAGATTCCCAGTGGACATTGTGGGCCAAAGGTGAGGAAGAAACAAGAAAGGACTGCTGAGCTGAGGCTATGGATTTATAAGGAAATAAATCCATGTATAGTGTGATTATTTTTCTCCAGACATCCTCAACAACATAGGAGCAGCGGAAGCCAGTTCTCAAAATGTGGGGGTACCAGAGATAAAGGTATTTATGATCTTTTAAATTAATATTTGGGATTTAAAGTTATATTTTAGAGCAACCACTCTGGCAGTGGTATGAAAGATCCTTACCCCTGTCAGAACAAGGGGTTAAAGGCATTATTGCTTTGGCCTCTTAACCACACATGAATACCTAACTCGAGATGGTATTTCCCAGTCCCCCTGCAGCAACCTGTGACTGTAGAACCTCGTATCAACATGGAAGATGGTCAGAAGTGATGAGTGCAACTTCCACTTCTCTGTTTAAAGGAAAGTACTTTCTCTCTTCCTTCTGCCTGTGGACTAGACCTAAGATATGGCTGCAAACTAGTTTCCCTATGCAGAAGAGAACTGAGTCCCAGGGATTGGTAGAACAGAAAAAGGAGGGAATCTGAGCTACTCAAGGTATTTGTAGAGTAAACTTGGCTCACTGTGCCAGCCTGAACTCTTACATGACAAAGAAACATTTATCTCACTTAACCCATTGCATATTGGGGGCTCTTTCTTAAAGAAGACTAACCTTTACCCTAAAAGTCAGGACTAGGTTGGTTTGGCTTTAAATAATCAACAGTAAAAGATGCAGAGAGGTAGATGAATTTGACATACTGAAGTCTTTAGCTACAAACTAGCTTTATGAGAATAGGTACTATTACTTTGAAAGAAACAAATGGCCTAATTTCAGTACAGATAATGTGACAACCACGGGTATATTGTTAATGCATCCCAAGAAGCTGACCCAGGTTTGCTGTAATTCTGTCTACTTGAATCAATTAGTTTTCAGTTACATGAAGAAATTGAGAAAATTCTTCAGAGCTTCCAGGCAGAGAGGCCAGCGAGACTAAAGGTCCTAAGCCAGGGATGAACCTGGCCTGTTTGAGAGTCAAGAAGAGCAGCATACGCAGCACACAGTGGGGAAAGAACAGTTGTAGGAACAAATTTGCAGAGATTGGCAGGGGTCAGATCAGACAAGTCTTTTAAAATCTGGATAAGGAATTTGGATTTTATCTTAGGCATGATAGGCAGCAATTGGGAAACTTTAAGCAGCTGAATGGCATAACTAGGTCTCCCTTCTAAAAATGCCACTCTTTAGAGAATGGATGCATGGGAAGAAGCAGGGAGCATGGTTAGGAGATGCTGCAGGAGTCCAGGCAAGAGACAATAATGACTTGGACAAAGGTTCAGATTTTTTGAGACCATTTTGGGGATTTTGAACAGCAGCAAAAGAAAAATTAGTTGACAGTGAAGAATATCATAATGTATCAAAGGCTTTTTTTCATCTGGCACTCTGTAGCCAGAACTTGCTTTTACTCCCAAACTCTGATACTACTCCTGGCCTCTCCCGTCTTGTCTTTGTTGTCAGAGGGGAATGTCTTGGCTCAGCCCAGCAACCCCGAACAGGGGCCCTGAACCACAGCTGCCTGCTTGTGGGAACATGGTCTGCAAAACAGTTGTCTAACTTTTCAGTTAATCAAATCAAACACCATCTAGAGCCTGTGGTTTGTTGTTTCCAAAGCAAGTTGTTGCCAAGTCCAGTCAACGTACTAAGTGATTTTTTAAAAATTTTCTTTTGTTCCCAAATACATCAGACAAATAGCAAATCTTTTTATGATTTGATCTGCTCAACTATGCAACCATCGTAGTATCTGAACCGTTTTTAAAAGAAGCTTCTGCAGCTGCTTGCCTCTGGCCAGGCTTCTAATGGTGAGGCTACAGACAGGGCCCAGATGGAAGAGCTTTTGATATTAGTTGATCCAGTGTACCAAAAGAAGGAAAAATAACAAAATTTGATAGTGATAGGTGTCTTTTGATCGGAAATGCCAGGAACTTGAAGATGAAGTTGATGTAAAAGAGCATCCTATAATGGGCATGAGATTGTTTCTTTTCCGTGATGAGCTGGTCTCCTTCCTCTGATCTTTGCCTGTGGTGCAAGTTGAACAGACTCCTTTGGCCGATGGAACCCTTTCTGCTGGAGGGTGGTGCTCCAGCAGCACCAGAGAGGGACTCAGGAACAAATTGGAGACCCCACCCCTATAATTCCAAAATAGATACTACCCACAACCAAACCAAACCAAACCAGATAACCTCAATCCAAGGAAAATTTATTCTAAAATAGACATTCCTTCAAATAACAAATTATGCACATCTACCGAAACTAAGAATTTCAGTTGGTGGTTTCTGTGTATATGTGTGTGGAAGCAAAGTTATCTCTTGAAAAGGAGAGTGGTAGAGAATTTTCAGGGACTTTGAAAAGAATAGTAGGTTGTTGAAATAGCTGCTATGAAGACTTGGAGAGAGAGCTGACCAAAGGTTTGAAAGGATTGCTGAGGAGTGACCCTGAGGGCCCAAATGAGGTTAAAGGACAAAAGATATAGACTCATAAGCTACAGTATTACATTGCTTTCTCTAATAGCTCTCTGTAAGACTTGCAGTTAGGAGGTGCAGTGGCTCACGCCTAGAATCCTAACACTCTGGGAGTCTGAGGCAGATGGATTGCCTGAGCTCATAGATTCAAGACCAGCCTGAGCAAGAGCGAGACCTCATCTCTAAAAATAGTGGGGCATTGTGGCAGGTGCCTATAGTCCCCGCTACTTGGGAGGCTGAGACAAGAGGATCACTTGAACCTAAGAGTTTGAGGTTGCTGTGAGCTATGACAGCAACTGAGGGTGACAAAGTGAGATTCTGTCTCAAAAAAAAAAAAAGAAAGAAAGAAAGAAAAATACTTGCAATAAGAGAAGAGAAAGCAGACAGCTGTGCAGAGCATGGACCATGGTTTTCCAAGAAAGTGAGGCAGAAAGACTAGAGTTGACTGATGACCATATGCTTGGAGCAATGGGAAAGGCAGCTGAGGCTGTACAGGAATGGAAATGAAATCAGGGAATTGTGGGTATAAAGGGATTTCTTTCATGACACTTATGGAACCAAAGAACAGGTAAAGTAAGAGCAAGAAAGAAAAAACAACAGTAGCCCAAGGATGCCTTTTTATTTCCAAAGTCACATTATTTAGGATCTAACCTCTACAGAGGTGCTTCATCTCCTTTTCATGGGTTGAAAAATCAGAAAATAGATATTCCCCTCCTGCACACCAACATTTACTGACATTTATATACTTTGCACAGAGTCACTCATCAGCTGAGTGACGGAGTTGGGATTCATACCTCAGCAGAACACTACAGAGCCCTTCTCCCCCAAGCTTCACCATTATACAATATATCGTTCCTACCAGGGAAGGGAACCATTGAATATTGTTAACAAAAATCGTGTGTTCAAAAATTATTATTGAACATGGAATCCTTCATAATTTGTGCCCATGGGAACAACACATGAATCACGACAGTTGACTCATTTTTTTCTTAACAAATCTTCTGTTACCCACATACATGTATATTGATACCCTGATACCACGTGTGTTTTGAATTAGTATTACCATCATCACATAAAATATTCTACATTCAACAATGATGGAAAAAATTATTAGAATATTGCAAGTGAATTTGTTAGAATGTTGTATGTAATTCTGAACTTCACTGAGATGAGATACAAAAATTATTCAGGAGGTGTCGAAGAAGTAAATAACTTACTGACACAGAGATATTAAAGTAAAACTCAGAAATGATGTCCTAAGTTTGATGAGAGAAGAAGAAAATTGATGGGAAACGAGTTAGTAGTCTCTGTGCAATTATTTATTCAAGACTTAATTTTTTCAGAGCAGTTTTAGGTTCTCAGTGTACTTATTTATTTATTCAAGACTTAATTTTTTCAGAGCAGTTTTAGGTTCTCAGTAAAATGGAGAGGAAAGTACAAGGAAGGTACAGAGATTTCCCAAGTACTCTCTACCCCCATGATTGCATCAACATCCCCCAAGGGAGTGGACTGTTGCGTGTTACAATTGATGAACCTCCATTGACACTGAATAATCCCCCAGAGTCCCTAGTTTACATGAGGGTCTACACTTGGTGTACATTCTCAGAGTTTGGACACATGTATAATCACATGTATCAATCATATAGCATCTCTTCACTGTCCTAAAAATCCTATGTTATGCCTGTTCCTTTCCCCTTAGCCCCTGGCGACCATTGATCTTGTTATTGTCCTCATAGTTTTGCCTTTTTTCATATACTTGGAATCATACTGCAGCCTCTTCTGCCTTTTCACTTAGTAACATGCAGTTAAGGTTCTTCCACATCTTTTCATGGCCTGATCACACATTCGCACTGAATAATATCCCATTGTCTGATATACCACAGTTCACTTCACCTACTGAAGGACATTAGGGTTGCTTCCAAGTTTTGGCAATTATTGATAACGTTGCATCACTGTGTCATTTTAAGATTTTTTTTTTTCTTTCTGATGGCTAGTAAGTAGCTTACTTTGCTGTAACACAACAAATTCTTGAAGGAAGAAAGGAGCAGTTATACACCTAAGAGGGCATAATCATACAAAACAAGAAGAGAAATTTAGGATAGATGAAAAGTATTTCTTGCCTATGAAAACAGCCAGAGCCTGGAATGCCAGGGAGCCCGGGAGTTCTCCTTCATGAGCAATAAAGGACAGGCAGAAGGCAGGGAGTTACCTCCTAAGTTTTTTACGTAATTTTGGGGTCATCTATGTTACATTGATTCTAAATGTCTTCCTCACCTGTACAATTTGGGTGATGGGCCGTGCTTTAGTTGATCTGAATAATCATGAAGTGATGGAAATAATATTGTGGCATGATTGCCCTAAAGTATATTGGGGAAGTTAAGTTCTTAAACTTCAAGTACAAGCAAGAATGAAAAATCTCTTTGAAACTTCCATCCATTTTAAGTGTATTTCAGCATTTGTCTTTTCCATAATAATATGTTAAAATGAGTGCAACATCGTGGAGAGAGTATGAGTTACGATGTAGTTTGGTCTGACCAGAGTTGGCTCAAAGTACAGCTCATGTTCCTATATCTGAGTCTGCTGTTACTAATACAGTTGAGCTGGGTAATTATCACTTATTTTATTCAGATGCTTTTCTTTTGCTTGACTCATCCTATTCACTTACTCAATTGTCTACTAGTAAAGTATCATTCAAATGGAACATGTTTATGCTAAATATTTTAAAGTGGATAATGTAGTGTGTCAGGGTGAGTTTGTTAAAAGTAGAAAAAATTAAAAATTGAAGCTCAGCCTTTTATGAATAGAAATAATCACAATTTTTTTCCTTCAGTAACTGGTTTTGTTAAAAAAGATGTCTCAGTCAAGTTAAAATCAATTTTTAAATACTCTCAATATTTAGAGTAATCTCAACAAATCATGTTTATATTTTCAGTGGGCTATCTTATTATAGGATTCCATACTTCAAATATTTAGCAAAATGGGTAAACCAGAAATACTTGCTCTCAAGTTTTAAGAAATGCTTCTTGGAAAGATATCTAGCCAGTGTTATTTAAGAACTTACACTTGTACATTCTTCTAGAATGTGTTCGTGATCATTCTGGCTGCATGCCGAGCCTCCAGTCAGACTCTGTGCCTCTTATTCAATGTTTCCTGATTTTTATTCCATTATTATTTTTAGGGTTTTTTGCTCTTCATTATGTCATCTCTTATACTATACCTTTAGTAAGCAACATTCTAGAACAGTGGTTCTCAACCTGTGGGTTGCGACCCCTTTGGGCGTGGAAGGACCCTTTCACAGGGGTCACCTAAGACCATCCTGCATATCAGTATTTACATTATGATTCATAACAGTAGCAAAATTACAGTTATGAAGTAGCAATGAAAATAATTTTATGTTTGGGGGTCACCACAACATGAAGAACTTTATTAAAGGGTCACCGCATTAGAAAGGTTGGGAACTACTGTTCTAGAATCTTCTCATGACTTGGGGAAAATAGCCTTGTGGTAGTGAATGTAAAACCATACAACAACCCCACCACCATCACCCCATAAATTCAGATGTTTTCTTTTGATAAAATGTGAAAACTTTATAGACTATCACTTGGGCTTACAATCTACTCTCCAGCTTGACACCTTTAGTTGCATAAATATATGACAAAAACATCTTTCTGAAATAAAAAAATAACTTAAGACTTGAGGACATCATAGGCCAAGTTATCCCAGAAAAGTTAAAATTTGCTTGCTTTCTTGGAGTATAGAATTGAAATTTTACAAATTATGTTCTAGAAAAAAATATTACTTTGTAAAATTGTATTACAGACTATACTATCCCTCCCCCCCAAATTATTAACTTTCATCCCAGAAATTAAGAAAAGAGAACTGACGCTTGGAAGGGGATTATGAAGGTGTACTAAGGGGAATATTTTGAAATATTTAATGTAGCTTTCATTTTTATCATGCCTTTACTCTGAAGCCCCTTTGCCATTAAATTAGGGAGATTATCTACTTTATTAGCTCAAAGAAAGGAGAAAAGGGGACATAAGGAAGCCAGGGAACCAACTATGTTTATAAATGAATTTTTAAATACTTCAGTATGAACAGTGGTTTTGAAAATCTGATTTTCAACTGTCAGACTAAGTCACTTGCATTTTTGGAATTCCAAAAGATTCCCTTTAATATTTGCAATTTAGAACCATCACTCTTTAATGAAGGGAGATCAGCTATAAAATGTCGTTAATGAAAGTAATTGACTGTAACATTAACTGCAAGTTTACAGCTGTGC